AATAATATATATAATAATATATAATCATAATATCTTTAAAATATTATTCAAATATCTCATGCTTTTATATCTTGGAGATGTTATAAATTTTTAAGATTTTCTGCAAGATATCTTGAATAATAATGTTTCATTTTTAATTGTCTGTAGACATTAGAACTTCGTTTATCTGAAAAACGTGAAGGGACAAGATAAATAGTTTCGATAACTGAATAATTTGGTTGATTCACTAGCTTTCTTCTCTATCAGTACATTTAGTTTTAATAATAGGAATTAATATTTAGAAAATTGAAGTCAAATTCTTATTATTCGAATGTTTCAAATAACTAAGCTATGAGTTCGTATATTTATAAAACTGAGCACAAATTTGTTCGTTAAATGGATGAACGGAGTTCTGCTATATTTTATTATTTTCTAAGAATAAGTCTTCTTATTTAGATTTGTGTTTAAATTTTAATCTTTATTATTATCACTTTTATTATTATCGTTAACACGTTAATGACGTGTTTTTAACATAGGTTCTTCGGGAAATCCTGGGGGGTATGTCAACAATAATGGTGGATATAGCGGTTATTATCCTGGCGTTTCTCAAGTTAGTCAACCAAATTACGGAAGTTATGGTGGCTCTCAGTCCAGTGCTAACGCTAACGCGAACGCCAATGCCAATGGCGGAGGGTATTCTGTTAGTCCCTCTTATTATCCTTCTAAACCTCAAAACGGCAACGCTAACATTAATGCTAACGCAAATGCGAACGCGGGTGCTAACGTCTTAGGTAGTGGCGGCGTGAATGTGATTCCCAACAAATATCCTAGCGGAGGAATAGATAAAATAGAAGTAATTCCCATAAACACATTGCCGCTTTCTCAACCAACTTCACCTGTCTATTCGATACCTTACCGACCGCCTGGAACTAATAAGGGAAATGTGATTGTCGTTGTCGAGGAATCTCCGCAATATCCGCCGTATCGTCCGAATCCCCATCGCCACCATCACCATCGTCAACCGCATTATGGTAAACCAAAACAACAGCCCATCGAGGTCATCATCATTGAGGAGCCAAGGTCTAATCCAGGTGACACTTCATGATCGAGCACATTCGAAAGTCATTGTGCAATTATCGTTGAGATTCTAATGCACTAACTGGTGTGGCAGCTCTATGAATTTTCTGCACTATGTTTTTATGTAATTTTTCACGAAAATAATGTCATAATTAATCGCTTCGCTGTTACTTTTCATATATTATTTTCTATATAGATATATCTTATGTGCTACAATGTTTTAATAATTAACTGGTGACACAGAGTTGGAATTGGATAACAATTGATCACAAAATATTGAATCATCTGTTTCTTTGTATATCATTTATTTCTTTGTATATCATTTATTTCTTTGTATATATATATA